ATATTCTTGTATTATTTGCTTCACTATTTTTTGGTCTACATTCAATTGATGGCAATACCAAAAAGACTATTCTCCAGTGTGTTTGGATTATAAGGTGCGGGCATTGATGACTATGAAATCAATATTCCATTCAGGCAACTTCATACATTGAGACTATACATTTGGGAAAATACACAATGTCACAATATTAGAATTATCACACATCAAATCGCTTACATCGTCTATGTCAGTTGATTAACACTCTCAGGTCAACAATTATTTTTAGTTCTTAGATTCTGGTTTCTGTCAAAATATTGTTGAAATCAAATGGAAATGAATCACATTTTATCCCTAAGGGCATTGGTATGGCCATTTCCTTTAGTAATGGCCTCCAAAGTACATGTAGGAGGGGCTAACCTAAAGTAACCTAGCTTCCAAGGATGAACATGTCAGTCACTTCAAGTTATGCAAATTGGGTATGCAAATTAGACTCCATATATGGATTGCCCTAACCTGCAGTAACCATTAAAATGTTTTAAGAATGAGAAGACTATGTTTTATGACCACACCTGCTCAAACTCTATCAACTCGTAACTCATTTTATTGTTGATTTGATCAATAAAATGTCATCAAATTTATGAACAAGATCAACAGGAATCAATACAGTTGAAAAAAAAATGTTAATTTAGTATGAAAACAGCAATTTTATAAATAATAGCACTAGATTAATGTTTTTAAATATGCATTTAATTTTGTAGGAAAAAAAAGTGGATAAAATGTAGAATAAAAACTGAGAACCAAATTATAAAAGAAAAATTAGACGATGCATGATGTTATTAGAACATGTGATTTGATGTGACAAATTACAGCCATCACATAGCGATAGAATCAGACAAACGCTATGAGTGAGTAGGGCGAATGCAGTATAGTTACCACTAAATGGCTGCTTATGCTAAATTAACCCTGTTCAAACAAAAATAGGGGGGCTCTTAAAAGCATACCATGTACCTAGAGAACACACACAATGCAGACAATAAGTAGAGACACGTGCCACTGCAATTTACATTTAAATCAGTTTAAATTACTTTACGCACAGGACAGTAGCGATGGAAATCAGAAAATTGGAGTGAAAATACAAGATAACTAATAAATAAAATCTGGTTTTAAGTATTTTGGAAGACTGGGTGGGTGACTTTTGACCTGATTGTTGTATTGCTGTTGAGGTACTTCATTGTTGAGTATCTTTTGTGGCATAAACAATAGCAGTCAAAAAGATCCCAGGCTGTATTTCACACTATGAGAAACTTGTTTATTTCCTGATACTCAACCAATGAAAATATACTGACAGTTCTATATAAAATTTTAATTTCAGTGTGTCTGAAAGTTTTTTATCATTTCTGTTTTTTATTTAATTATTTTGTTGTTTTGTGAAATTGCATTACGACAATCACAAATTGACAAGGATTTTACACTGAGGTGTTTCTGTTTTGGGGAAGCAAACTGCAAATCCTTGAATATTTCTATGAATTACTGGTACACTAAATTGACTTAAATTAGGATAGTCCCAAAATACCAGTAAACTTAGAAGTTATAGTCTCAGTTAGCACAGTCACCAAAACTGTACATACACTTTCTTTTATTACTGTTCTTTTGTTCACTAGTTTGTATTTATATACCTAAAACACAGTTGTAACTATACCGGTATAATATATATATATAAATAGTGGCTTTTAGCAGATCTTCAAAAACTGGTCGCTATCAATCATTTTGTGTGAGCTCCAACTATGCACGTGTCTAGTTATGAAGACAGTGTTGCACAAAAGTAATATTTTTGCAAATTCAAGCATAATTTTGTAGTATAAAAATCTAGTGATTTGCAATGAGTAAATGACATCTACGCATTTATTTTAGCAAGTCTCATTTTTTTTCTGCTTATAAGATTAAAAGCTATGTAACAGCACGACATTCTGTGACACTGATCAGGGGTTGAAATAGCTAGTGCAAGTAAACTCAAAATATAATGTGCACGCTGTGCATGTAGAAATTAACACAACATTTTCCCATTATATTCACTTAGCCTAAATTAAGACAACTCAAAAAAGCTAATTCTTTCGTGATCGAATCGATCGAGAACCCGTAAATTTTATTTAAACTTAAAAAGTGGTGCATTTCACAACAAGTTAGTGCAGGTAAATTTCAAATTCAACATGCACACTATGCATGCAGGGAAAAAATTCTATTTCAATCCCTGCTGATCAAAGATAAAGGGTGAATGCCCCTTGCAAAGGTGAGACAACAATGACAACCAGTGATCACAAACAACTGTCACCACTACAGTGTATGACGTAGTTTATCCATAGATCCTATGGTTTATCATGACAATAGTGACACTACATGTAACGGCCATGGCACTAAGCCAAATCCGGACAATTGCAATGTGTTACCTTGCCAGGTCATTTTCCCTCACAGCAGGCGTGGTCAACACAACCTAGAACATGTAAATTCAGACATGGCTGCAGTTTGGTCGAATCATGGAGCTAAAATAAGACCATGGTCCATGGTCGAATATCATTTTTGGAATTTTAGCTCCACGAATCACACTATACGTAACAACTCTACACATACATGAGCAGATGAATAGGAAATTTCGAGCACTACTATCAGTACAAAGTTTTGCATTTGGGCAGGACAAAGGTCTTCATAATTTGAAGGCCCAAAATGAAGTAAAACAATTTACAGTGTAAATGTCAAGAGGAATTTCAGACTGCAATCTTTACATCCTGCCCAGCAGCTTTAAGAAGACTCCATTTGATGAAATTTTAACTGTAAACATGCATTATTTCATTAAAGTACACAAAACATTGGCAAAAAAAAAAAAGATGAATTATGTGAATGTGAATTATATTTTTGCCTTCACCAAAAAAAAACAACGATTAATAGGATATTTTACTTTCTACACAAACAGATTGTAAAGCACAATACACTTATTTGAAAAAAATCCATAATGCTATATAAAAATAATTGATTGAAGTCATTTTTTTAGGTTTTTTTCCAATGCAATGTCTTTTTACATTTGCATCAAACATTTCTGTTTGGGTATGAAACTGTCGGGTAGCTTTAGAGGGTTAGAAATATGAATATCATGTAATAGCCTTCAGTTGATAAAATTATGAAGATAAGGATATCAGTGGTGAACAGTCCCCAAGGAAACAAGCAAGCTGTACTGCACAACTAGACAAATTCTAATTAACAGTTCATTGTACTGGACTTCATTCAATATGCTAATTATGTATATGCAAATGACTCTTAGACACAATGTGTTGTCATTTGCCCCTTTGTCTAATTAGTAAGGTCATTTTTTTTAACATGCTGGGAAGAAAATGAGTCATGCATCCTCTGACTGACTGCAGTTTTCAGTCAAACCTCAGACACAACTATAGTTTTCAGTCCAAAATACCACCCCCATGTTAGAAAGACAGAATAAATCAGAAATAATTTACATCGGAAGAATTGTAATGTAACAGCTTAAATTTACCAAGGCTGTGAATTTTGTTATCAGTTAAAATCACTGGAATACTACTAGTACTTTAGTTTGGAAGTCACAGTGACTTTAATCTTCGCAAATGTCACTATGAATGAGATTTCAGGTTGTGTTGCTTTTTGCAAATTCATTGACAACATAAAGAAATTAATTTATAGTATGTTAATAGGTTAGTATTATATGTGTATAGGAGTAATGGCTACCTTGTTTCTCTTTAACGAAACCATTGACATGATCACTGTAACCATTTCTTTCAAGTATAGTTTCTGATTCTTGGGGCAGATCTTAAATACAAAACACATGCAAAGTTAGAAAATAGTCACCAGGAACAAAAGCAATAATTTTTTTTAGAATAGAATCTATAGAAACATGTAACATAATTTATGAAACAGACCCAAAGTGGAGTGTATAATATTTATTCTTTGGCAAAGCAGAAGGCACACTTTTGACAAGACTTACAAACACGTTATCACCAACCTTTTGAGTATGACAATAATCACAATATACACATTGATGTTTTCACAAAAATGTTAAAATTTGTCTTAAAATTTCATGAGCAGGATGTATATTCACTGTCAACGCTATAATTCATTTTATTGTATCTATGGGTGAATTATGAGGGGGGAATGGATGCTGATCAAAGCATATATTATACTTCATTAATTTTTAGCTAATTCTCATGTTTATCATTAATATATATATACATATTACATTCAACAGACTTCATCAAAAATTCAGCGAGAAGTGTTCTATTTCGCATATTTTCTAAAAGCAATAGGAGGATATCCTGTCACTAAAAATTTATTAATATAATTTTTTTTAAATTATTAACAACTGTAAGTAGTATCTAAAGATTTCGCAAAATTCATACCATTTTGTTGACTCGCACTACAAATAGAGAGAATTTAACACGCCTTTAAAAATTAACAAAAGACTGCATAGACAAAATGGAAGGGGGAAAAGATAGTTCAGGTCAATTAACAAACAGTCTTTAACGTAAAGGTCATGCATCATTTGCATACAAATAAACTAAATAATAACTACAGAGCATAAATTGAATCATCTTCCCTATCAAATTAATAAAAGAAACCTCATAAAGACCCAATGATGAAATGCATTCTGGGATCCAGAAGAATGGGTTGACTGACCAAGAAGTCTTTGACCTCTACAGCAATGCATTGCATTTCAACTACCAGCAAAATAAACAACACATCAACCACATTACTAGCACAATTAAAACCATCAAACAAACCACAACATAACATAAAACTATAACAGATCTTAATATTCAATGCTGACTTTCCTTTCTAGTTTTAACTGTACATATCTTAATGATTTCATCTAATATTTGGTGATGAAACTCTGCCACTAGTGTAGGGCCTACAGTACACCATGCAGGGACATCATAAACATCAACTAAGGACAGTAAGGACAATGGCCTGGCTTAATAAGATCAAACAGTAAACTGGACATTTCTTACCTTTTCGCCCAAATTTGAAGACGCTAGCCATCATTTGTGATATTTCTCTTGAGCTGGTAGGTGTTAGGTCGCTGTAAATGGATTGAAGCTATTTGGCAATCAAAGCTGTTCTCCCTACACTACACCTCCTGATGACTAGCCACGATTGAAGAGTAAGTCTACAATGAACTCTGTGATGGGATTCTCATGAGTCAATCTGCATAATCACAAGCTGTTCACAACAGCCTTGGAACGCTTCATGTCAACAAGGTTTCCATATACACTGCTCAAAAGGGGCAAACTTTCTGAGTGACAGAATTTAGAATAGACCAAGTATGATAACAATCCCCCAAATAAATGTAATTTTGGAGATTTATTGTTACAACAATTAGCACTGCAAGTTATGTATTATCAATGCAATTACAAATTGTTCCCTCAGAATGGTAACTTACACCACCTGTGTGTGAAAATGGACTGTTCCGTGGTGTACTCTTTGGGGTCAATCAGGTGTTATGTAACCACATGATAATAAGCTTTAACAGGTCATTGACACAAAGAACTTGACACAAAACAACTATTGCCAGTACCCCTAAAACCAGTCAACTTGGGGACAATCTGGACAGCAAACCATGTTGGCTTCCTCATACCAGATAAATTTACCAGTTTGTTTTCAAAACACAGACACTTAGGAGGTGGGAGGATGGTGACAGCATATTAGTGGTTGTTGACCAGAGAAATTAATATTCATGAGTACATCAAATATTAAAAGCAGCTTTCATTGAAGAACAGTCATGCGCCTACTGATGTCAACCTAGCTCCCAAGGCCACACACAGTTACATACTAGTAGTCCTGGACCAAATACTGTAAAATACACTATTTTAGCTGGAATTAATTTTCGCTGGAAATACTTTTGAGGTGTTTTATATGGAGTTTATTTTCACTGATTTTTTTGAGTTGAGTGTAAAATATAGAAAAAAAGATATATTCGCTGGATATTATTTTCACTGAACCATCTAGTGAAAATAAAGTATTACAGCAACCATACTTCTACTGTAAAAGTTACAGGGGTCACAGTTACACTAACTATCTGCATTTGGCAATGACCCCAAATCCCCAGTTTGACTACAATAACAATCAATGTGAATTTGTCTATATTGTTTCCTGTTTAGAAATTACTGTACTTTAATTGTTCATAGTGTTCATGTCTTTCATTGAATATATCTGACACTATATTATCTACTGTGAAATACTTTATTTTAGCTGGAATTAATTTTCGCTGAAAAGGCATTTTGGGTGTTTTGTATGGAATTTATTTTTACTGATTTTTGATGATTTGAATGTGAAATATAGGGGAAAAAGTATATTCGCTGGATTTTATTTTCACGGACTCATTCCTTGAGCGAAAATAGCGAAAATAAATTCCAAGCGAAAATAAAGTATTCTACAGTAATCAGCTGCAATTTTGAGACATGCATGTCACACAAATATAAAAGAAAACACACAATTACTGAATGTGGTATTACTAAAAAAAAATCAAATTATTCATTTAAATTTACAAGCTAAAATAGTATCTTTTTCCAAAATATCAAAAAAAAAAAAGAGAAAAAAAGTTGTTGTTGTTCTGACCATGGAGGTAAAAAGAGTTTTTTCACCTCCATGTTTTGACGCATTTTGTACAATATTAATTTACTAAAACAAACCAAAATAGCACCATTTTCCACAAAAAAGACAAAAAGATCCTAATACAAGAGTTGTTTTGATGCATTGTGTCTGACATGCATTTACATTTAAAAACCAAAATAGCATGTTTTCATATTTCCCTGAAAAAAAAAGAGACAAAAACGTAATACAAGAGTTGCCATGACAATGTTCGATATGGGTCACATACTATAACAATAATAATTTTATTCAACACGAAAAACATACTACAGAAGTTGTTTTGATGGTTGCATAAACAAAAGAAAAACAAACAAAAAATTTAAGAACAAATAAAAACAAGATTAAACTAAAAACTACATATAAACTACATATAAACACACAATATGGCCAAAGGCCAAAAGATAGCCATATTTACTAATGAGTAGAATACAGAGAACGGCATTATCAATCTCCTACTGGAACGTTCAGGGCTTGAGTAATAAAGTAGGTGACAATGATTTTATTAACAAAATTACTGAACATGACATTATTGGGCTTGGGGAAACCTGGCTGGATAACAGTACAAAGGATAAACTTCAAATTCCAGGATACTATACACAATCAAATATAAGACAATCTCAAAGAAGAGGAGGAATCTCAGTTATAATCAAACAAGAACTAAAAAAAGGAATAAAAATCATAAACATGAATGAAGAAGACATAATATGGTGTAAACTAAAGAAAAGATTCTTCAATACCACAACTGATATCTATATTTGTTTTCTTTACAATCCTCCTATTAACTCAACATATGCTAAACAAAATTTCTTTGATAATCTTGAAAAAAAGATTACAGAGTATTCTAAATTGGGTGACGTTATAATTCAAGGAGACTTTAACAGTAGAACTGGAATTTTGCCAGATTATATTGAAAATGATACCTCTAGATTCTTACCTCTACCAGATTCTTACAACATAGATGATAATGACCCACATCATAATAAGGATTAACTGTCAACTCTTATGGAAACATGTTGATAAATTTATGTAAAAATTGTAATCTAATATAT